TAAAATCTCTGTGTTGTTCCTACAGGTGACTTCTTCACTACTACCAAGACTTGCAAGAGAGATTTAGGATATGTTTGTCCTAAAGTAAGATGGTCATTTCTTCTACACCATGCAAATTGCCCTGTTTTATTAAAAGCAGAGATCTGTATTGGAATCAGTGTTGAAGGCGAATAGTTGTGTGCATGTGAAGGAAAGAAAGTGAAGTGACCCCCTCAGGAGGCAGCATATCAGTGACACTGATGTTCATTATGTTAGTTTCTAAAAAGGTGTTTCAACAGCATTGTGGCCTTTCCTCTATTGCCCTAGAGCCTTTTTTTTTTTTTTACCAAACAGCAGGTCTGGCATTCATTTGGTTTCCTCCTCCTCTGTGTGTTACTCTCCTAGCAATATCATTGCCACAACTTAACTGTGCTAGTGTGTATCAGCCATGTTTCCAGATCTTATTTGTTGACTATTTGGATAGGCCACTTAAGAATTCACAGAACAAGGAGTTATAGAAGTGTGAATATCATCAAGTTCATTCCCACATTTTAATTATGCAGAAACATTTCCAGACAGGTAACACAGCCAATAAGAGACAAAACTGGGACTTGAAGCATAATGCCAGCTTAAGCTAATGTTTTTCTCTCCATACGACATACTTTAGTTTACAGTTGGCCTAGAAAAAATAAGTGTATATCACTTATTTGGGTCAAATACATTAATTGTTTCAAGCTGTTACTATATTATATTTTTGAATAACAAGATGAAAACAAAATTACTAGGACATAGTGGCATAGGATAGTAGAAAGATAAGGAAAGCTTCTCTGGTAAACTAAATCTGATTTAGAGTCCCTAATTTATTAGCTGTGTTATTTTCATCAGGTTGCTCAACTTTTCCAAAGTTGTAAGTACATGATAGTACTAAGAATTAAATGTAATGCTACATATAAAACATCTAACATATTGTAGGTGCTCAATATATAATGGTTTCCATTATTTCCAACCTGCCACTAAAGAACTGTGCCACTCTGGCAAATTTCTTTAGCCATTTGGTTCTCAGTTTCTTCCTCTCTAAAAGGAGGAGATGGAAAAAATGATGAATTCCAAAGTCCCTTTCAGTTCATCAAGAAATAAATAATTCCCAAAAGTTCCTTCATGTTAGTTTAAATTCAACAAACACCTAAGTACCTTACATCCATGCTAGGCACTGAGGAGTTCCAACTACCACCAGGAAAAGTATCTATGATTTGAGCACAGTGGGACCAACTGCATATAATACTTCAAGTTCTATAAAATTAAAATTACTATGCAAAACCAAAGTACTTAACTTCAAGGAAAATTCTACAAGGACATCACAAACCTAATATAATAAATAAAAATAATTTAAGATACACTTTAAATTATTACTCTGCTTTTTTGCTAGGGTTGCAGATGAGAATCAATATGTATACCATAGGACTGTAACAAAAGACTAAAGAGACACTTAGAACAACTAATAGCACTTTTTACAAAGAAAGAAATGAACAATTAACTTCCCTGAGAGTTTTATGATACACTGTAAAATTTAAGATACTTGTGTCATTCTGAAATAAAGGGGAATATAATTTCTAAGAAGTGTTTTACAGGCCCTGGCTGGCGTAGCTCAGTGGATTGAGTGCGGGCCTGCGAACCAGAGTATCGCGGTTCGATTCCCAGTCAGGGCACATGCCTGGGTTGCAGGCCGGTTCCCAGCAGGGCACTCATGAGAGGCAACCACACATTGATGTTTCTCTCCCACTCTTTCTCCTTCCCTTCCCCTCTCTCTAAAAATAAATAAATAAAATATTTTTAAAAAAAAGAAGTGTTTTACAGTGATAAACATTAATGTATGAAGGTAGTTGACCACGTTCTCAGATTACTTTTTAATTTTGTGTTTTAGATTTACATTCTCTAAAAATAAAGTATAATGTAATTTAAATGATTGAGTCTTGTAAATAAAATGTAGGTAAATGGTAACTGATTTTAAATGAAACTTTTAACTGTAAAGTTTTTTCTCTTTTTTCATAAGGAATTTATAATCAATGGATTTTTTTTATTATGCATTAGGCTTTTTACAAATAACACTCTGCAGGTTTTAAATATATTTAAAGTCATGGTTAGAGCTCCTAATTATGGTTTCCCAAAAACTGATCTGAGGTTTACCTTGTTCCCATATCTGCACGATATTATTTACCCATATTTTAGAATATTAGATTACACATCTTTGATGATAAAATGTTATCAACAAAGAACTTTTGCCTTTTGTGAGTATGAAAAGACAAAAAAAGACCCACTTAAATATTACCTCGAATGTGTGAAAATAATATAAATTCAACAGCTGTGTTCTATGGGTTAATTTTTGTCCTAAAAGAAGATAAAGAATACACTCTGTCCCCCAGCATACTTTGTGTGCATAGGTCCAGAGAGCCACAGAAATATGATGTAGGCATACACATATCAATCACAGTGTGAACCAGAGGCAGAAGGTTTGGGCCCTTTTTCTTGGACATGTCATTTCACCTTCCTAATTCTGTCTCTTTATCTATGAAACAACAGGAGGAACCACCTGATGATCACTTTTTTTTCAGTTGCTATAATTAACATCTGTGTGTACCTTCAGTAGAGCATCAAGACACTCAGGACACAGGGCAAAAGCGCTCACATGAGATCACATGAGAGCACTATTCTGTTCTTCATCTATGCTACCAGCATGAGGCAGCTTCTGTAGAGAGCCAGACACTAAATGGCCTGGCATCATGCCTTGGCTGAAAACACCAGCCATAACTATGAAAACACTTAAAGAGAAAACTGTTTTCTGAATGCAGTCCAAAAAATAGATAGGGGGCTGTGAGCCCTCACAACCTCAGACCCTTTTATCTTGCCTGGCAGATGTACTTTCATTTAGGTAACTTATGCTTCCTGAGCCTTAAGAGAAATAATTCTGAAAATGAATGGTTCTCATCTTCAGTCCCATGTCTGATGCTTGAAAATACACAGATTTTTATGTGGCAACTACATTACATGCAACAATCCTAGGACACCTTTTTAAGACAGTTTAGCATAGTGGCTAAAAGTATGAAATGGACTCAAATCCTGGCTCTACTAAACTGCTATGTAATCTTGGAAAAGAAATGTAATCTCCCTGTGCTTCAGAGCTTTTTGTCTGTAAAATAAGGAAACTAGTAAAACCTAACTCATAGGAATGTTGTAAGTATTAATTAAGATGTAACACATGCAAACAGTTAGCACAGGGCCTAACATAAAGTAAATGTTGGAAGGAAGGAAGGAAGGAGTATATTTGATCCTGGGATCAGGGACCCCCTTTCTGAGTTTATCTAAAGGTCACAAACAATTTGCTGGCAGTGAATGACATCTGCTGAGCTTTCCCCTTCTGAGAAGACAATATGACAAAGACTCAAAGCTGGGATCAGCTGTTACTAATAGGATCCTGCAGAATTCGGGAAGAAATAAAATTATCCTGAAAGTGTGAAAAAGTCACTCTAGTTTAAGACAAGATCTTTAAAAAGGATAGAACATACACACAAACACACTTATAGTCATACAGAACCAGAGAAAGAGTTGTTTTTTTTTTTAAATTTACACCTTCTCAAGTGTTGCCAGCATTAAAATCTACAGAATTTTATAACTGGATGGCTCCCTAGAGATCATCTAGTTGAACTCCCTGACTTGATAGACAAGTAGCTGAGGCCAAGAAAGTTTAAGAAGCTCACTTGAGGGCATTCTGCAGTAAACTGCAGAGCCAAGACAAACTTCTGGACTCCCCCATTTGCCCACCCAGTACTCAGCTTGGTATCTTTCAGCATCCTGCCCTTGTTGCTCCAAACAAAGTGCACACACATGCACACACACATACACAGGTTTCTCACTTTTGCTCAGGTTCTCAAGAAGTACAGAAGCAACCTCCAACCCCTACCCACACCAGACCTTTCCAGAGCCTCAAATGTGGGAGTTCAGGAGGATCCTGATCAATCTCTAGCCCTCTTTGGAGTTTCTGTTATCTATCTCTGTTCTTCCTCACATCAACTCTTAAGGTCTACTTCTAGAAGTTTCTCACCTCAAAGATCAGGCACTTCCCAGGGAAGAAGTTACGACCTGTTCATTTACAAATTCTCATCTTTCCACAAATGCTATACATAAGTTTCCTCCAAGCTCCTTGAGTCAGTTCAATCAGAACAAATCCCTCCCTCGCTCCTCCCGTGAAATAACTCAACCAGGTATCTATAAAATGCATAAGAATGTGGAGGGCTGGGGAGTCCTTGGGTATGCCTGACAGGACCACCTGAGAAAGAGGGGACCCAGGAACGGGATACGGATTAGGAGGAGGAGGGAAATGAGTAGAAAGAACTGACCAAGTTGCAAAGTCTGGATCCTGGAGACAGCTGTGCTGTTGCGACTCACTCACTGCTAAGAGGGAACTGAACCGCCCAGGGGTTTTCACTGTTTTAATTACAACAGACAGGTGCCTCAAATCACACAGGTAGGAAGCAGGGAAAAGCTACCCCGAAGTGGCAGAAACGAGAAGCTCTCTGTCTTCCTCTGGTTCCTCGTCCTCTCTCATCTGGTGCTGGCCGCTCTCTGCCTGGGGCGGGGGAGGGAGGGCGGAGCGGCACAACCCGAGCTCTCCAGGTTCGAAGCATCACCCCTGCCTGGAAACTGCCCACCACTCGCTGTTCTCCTAAAGACGGGGGAGAAGCGTAGGGCACCAGAGATTCTTCTCAGATCCACCAAGTGCTCTTCCCACTCCCCAGTCCCAGCCCCTGCAGGGAAACTGATCTGGGAGAATCCTTCGCTGAGGGTCTGAGTCTGAAAAACTGGGGCGCTTCTTGTCCGGAAGCACAGAGCCCGCGTGGGGTGTCCCTCAGCCTCGGTCCCTGCTGGGAGGGTGGTTCGTGTCACATCCAAGTCTCCCTTCCCCACTCGCGCACCCGCCCCCGAAACCGGAAGGAAGGCTTTCCTTTCGCCTTTTTTCCGCTCCCTACCTGAATTCTGGGGCCAAGTTAGGCTGCAACCCGTAGAAAGCGGCGGAGAGAGTGACCAGCCACCCCGGCTTGTAACTCCCGTTCTCGCACTCCAGGTAAGGCGGAGACCACTTGACGTGGCCCTTGTCCCCGCCAAGCCCGTCCCTGCGCCGCCAGCTGTGGCCCAGGCCCCGGGGCCCCTGATTGGAGCCGCGGCGCTGTACGTGGGTCCGCCACTTGCGCCGGAGGCCATGGAACCACTCGGTCTCCAGTGTGGCGTTGGCCAGGTGGTGTGCCGAGGACGACAGGTCCTGAAGCAGGATGCGGCTCTCCTCGCGCGTGGCCTGGAGGAAGACCTGCGGGGCGGACGCGGACAGCGACTCGGTGCTGAAGGTGAGGGCCGCCCGCGAGATGCTGGGCTCGCCCTCCAGCAGACTCCGCACCAGCGCCTGGTACCACTCCAGGTCGTCTTGCAAGTTCTGCTCTCGCGACTTATTGCTCTGCAGCATCATGTTGAGGAAGTTGGTCGCGTGTGTCAGCGTGTCCAGTGCCCCGTGCAGAGAGGGATGGGAGCTGGCCAGGGCCGTCGACTTCCCCGGCAGGCCCGCCAACTCGTAGCGGCCGGAGCAGTTGGCCCGCTTCAGCTGGTGGGAGTCCCCGGTGTAGAGGTAAGAGGCCACGTCCACCGGCACCTCCTCGGCGAGTTTCTGCGCCAAGATGGTGCCGTCGGTGGAGCGGCTCCAGGGAGCCCAGGGGTCCGAGACAGGAGCTCCGGCCGGCTGCTGGGCGTGCTGCTTCCCCCGCAGGGTCCTCTCTCGGGGGGAGCCCGGACGTCCCGCAGGGTCGCGGCCGGCGCCCACCGCTCCCAGTCCCAGATGAGTGAGCAGGAGGCAGAAGAGTAAGGGGCGAGCCATGGCTCCCATCTGCCTCTCAGGGGAGAGGAGGTGACGGAGGAGTCACTTCTTAAATTCTGGTCGTCAATTTACCAACAGAAAGACTTTTACCAGGAGTCTTCCCCCTTCTCCGGTCGGCACCCGGTCGAAAAGGACTTCAGAATAAGAATGCCTCCAAATCTCACTGTGGCTAAGCTCCCGTCACAGGAAATCGAATCACCTGTGGCAACGCCGGCTGCAGCCGCTCCGCGATGGGTTGGCTCACAATTACGCATCTCGCAGCCCCGAGCCGAACAGGTTACCTCCCCTCTGCCTGCTGGCGGCTATAGTTAGCCTGCTTACGTCTTTCTGCTCGGCAGCTTCCACCGCCGCTCTCACTGAGGTGTGTTCCAGAGCTGCTGGGGCTGCTGCGGCCGCGGCGGCCGCAAACGCTGCTCCATCACCTCACCCGCGGCCGGTCGTTCCCGCCTCCCAGCCCTGGCCCCGCCTCCTCGTTCGCCCCGCCTCCCAGCCCTGGCCCCGCCTCCTCGTTCGCCCCGCCCGGAGGCGCGGAGCGCGCGCACCCGGACGGCGCGAGAGCGCTGAAGCCGGTCCCACAGAGCGAAGATTTCTGTTAAGGCGATTGTCTCTCTGGGGTCCCGCGGGCCAGGCAACTGGTTAATTGGAGCTTTGGGTTTGGCCACAGACCACACTCCTTCCGCTCCCTGCTCTCGGGAGGAAAGCCTGTTTAAAGCGGCAGCTTGGCCGCAACCAAACCCCTGTAGGGCGGCATCCAGTCCATCTTGTTCCCTGTTTGGTCGGCTCCGGTGTCAATTAGCCGGCTGCCGTTAGCGGGGAATGGGGGCGCTGTCCAGTGCTGAACCCGAGGCGGCACAGAGGAGGCGCAGGAGGAGGCGGTGGCGCGAGAGGCAGCAGCGCCGAGTGCTTTCACCCACTCGTGTTCCCCGATGACTCTGAAACCTGAGGGGGTTGGACGAGGTGGGCGAGAGTGAGGGGCGAAGCAGAGCTTTTGTGGCTCAGAAGGAAGGAAACTTGTACGTACTGAGGAGGAGGGTGTTGGCGTCTTGAATGCTTAGTTCAACCAGCCTTTTTGCCTGAAAAAGAGGGAGAAAGGAGTTTTCATTTCTGACAAATCAGAGGGGAGGGACGTAGGATGGAGACGTGTCCTCCCGAGCATCTGCTCATTTTTGGCAAATCATCAAATCCTCCTCCTTGTCGGTTGAAGAAACGATTAAAATCTACTTGCAGAGGTCTTAGCTATGAGGGAGTAATGGAGACATCTACTGGCTGAGCTTTAAAAAAAAAAGTCATATTCAGAGAACCTGTGCTTGAAACGGGAGCAGGATGAAATGGAACCCGTGAAAGTAGGCAAGTGAAGATGTGGAAGGGAGAGAGCCTGTGCAAGGGGCAGGATTAAGACTGTGAGGGAATGAGAATGGGTGAGCATGCATTGAGTGAGAAGGGAAGTCATCCCTAGAGGCTGGGAAGTCATTCCTATAGGCTGAGATATCCCAGCAGAAGAAAGAAGAGGTCAATAAGCACGTCAAGTTCCCTCCCAAGTAATTAGCAAATCCCTTCACAACATCTAATTGTTTTTATTTGAAGCTTTAGGAATGTCTTCTGACATTCTGAAAATACTAATTAGTACTGGATATGCAATGTTTTTGCACCTCCACTTTCCATATGCACCTCTATTTTCAAAATCCCCAAGAAAGAAAAACAGAAAATTCCAAATTCGTTTCAAGTTCCAACTAATAAAAATGTCACCTGTAGTATTCTAAAACAACACTGGTTAGATTTACTTTATCATTTTATTTTATTCATCACTGAGAAAATGCCTAAGCACTGAAATGTAAGTTCCAAAGAGCAAAAGTTTGTCTGCATTGGTCACTGTAGTATCTTGAGCATCTGGAACGCAAAAAATATGCCTGGCACATAGTACTGGCTTTTGGAATAAGACATAGCAACCAGTTTTCCAAGCTGCAGTGCATGGTCTCCAAGTGAGTTTTTATACCTATGCAAAGAATGGTTATTAATTTTGTATTTACTTACAAGTATATTTCATGTTCATATCTACTTTCTGTTTAAATTCTGCTTTGGAGTATATGCTTCTTTGCTGAATAAAGGTCATCGCAGTTTAATGCTCTAGCATAGCAAAAACAGAAGCAAATTTCTGTTTGTTTAATGCATCAGAGTGTATGATATGATATAAACTCCATCTATTTTATCATCTAAAAATTAAAATGTAATTTTGTCGTTAGCTGATTTTTTAGAAAATGTACATAACATTAACAATTCTTTAGCTTTCTAGTATTACACTTTGAAAGTTTTATTAGCTGGTCCTTTTGTAAGTAATTCAATGAATTACAGAAAAATTGAAAGACCTGGGTTCTGGTCTTGGCATTGTTTTTATCAAAAGGTATGACCACTGGCAAGACATTTAAAGTTTCTGTGTCTTGGGGCACAAATTGTATCTGGGCCTCATGATTCGGCAGTAAGGGAGTGCAGAAACAGCATCTGAGACACTCTGCAGGAGTGTCTGTCCTTCCTCTAGTGCACATCTAATAAGAAAAGAGCAGGCTATGAGAAGTTCCTGCAAGTTAGCATTCTTTTCAGTGGATTGCCTTCAGTCAACATTGCCAAACCAATGGGGTGAACTAATTGGGTCTAGAACAGCACTGCCCAATAGAAATACAATGAGAGCCACAAATGTAATCCATATGTATAATCTAAAATGTTGCCATAGCACATTTAAAAAGAAAAATTTTTAATTAATTTTCATAATATATGTTATTAAGTTCAATATATCCAAAATATTATGTCAGTAAGAAAGCAATATAATACTTATTAGTGAGATATTTTACATTTTTATATTAAATATTTAAATTCAAATCTGAATTTTACACTGATAACACTTTACAAATTTTAGTGCTCAATAACCATTTGGGGCTAGATATTACCATAGAGGGCAAGCCGTAGAAGATCATGCATTGTGGTCTAGAATGCTCCAGAAAGCTTACGTCTATTTAAGATAAGGCACCATGTTTCAAATGCTCTAGGAGGCCTATCCATTTAATACATCTGGAGTCAAGGTAACTAAGTAAGTAGACCACCTATGTCTATGTTATTGTGCATCAGTAAAGGAGATAATCTGAAAGAGATTTTTATAAGGGACCAAGCTTTATCACATATACACACACTTCTAAGCAGACTACAAAATTCAACACCAGCTCACAAAGACAGTGTCACTCATTCAACAAATGTTGATTGAGCATCAGGCATTGTGGTTAGTTAACACTGGGACAAAATAGACACACCTATACAGTAAACACACGAATCTTACAATCGAGTGGGATAATAAAAAGCTATCATATCATTTTAAAAACTGCATATTGTGATAAGTACCATGAAGAAATAAATGCTGTAAAGTGATAAAGAGTTCATGGTATTGGGGAAAGAAGCTTTTTATGTAAAGAAATAAAGGACAGAAAGATTTCTGTGATGAGGTACCAACTGAGCTGAGCCATAAAGAATGAGGAGCAGATTTCTGCCAAGATGGAGGCATAGGTGGAGACGCCTTGCTTTCTCACACAACCAAGTTTAGAGACAACTAAATATTAGCAATAGAAAACACAGCCAGAACACAGAAAATTGAACTTTTCAGAAGTCTGATAACAACAAATTCTTCAGCCTGACCGGTAAGAGGGGCGAAACCAGCAGCTGGTGGAGCGGGGTAGCACAGGAAAACTCGGTCAGACGGACTCAGGTGCGCGGAACCCAGGCACAGGGTTGGACCTAGTGAGCAACCCAGGGAGCTACCGCGGGGAAACACTGAGGGAGCAGGGCTGCGGGTTGACTGTGGTTGCACATTCGTGCACAGATAGACAAGTGAGGGAGTGGGTGACTGGACGAGAGCCAGCAGGCCCCAGCATGAACAGCAGCAGAGGGCGCCACCATTTCCCCGCTCTGACCCCGCCTCCACATACAGCCTCACAACCCAGCGACCTAGGAGTCCAAGGCTCCGCTGGCGAACAGACCAAAAATGGCTCAAGAAGATCTCAAAGCCCCAGAGCCCATAAATCTAAGTGATAAAGAAATAGCAAAACTCTCAGATGCACAGTTTAAAACACTGGTGATCAGGATCTTCACAGAACTGGTTGATTATAGCCACAAATTAGACAAACATATGAAGGCGAAACTAATTGAAATGAATGGAATTGCACAGGAAACCAATAGCAATGAAAAGGAAACTGGGACTCAAATCAATCGAGTGGACCAGAAGAAAGCAAATAATGGCCAAACAGAAAAGAGTAAAGAAGCAAGAATTCAAAAAAATGAGGAGAGTCTTAGGAACCTCCAGGACATCTTTAAATGCTCCAACATCCGAATTATAGGGGTATCAGAAAGGGGAAAGGAACAGCCACCAGTGGAAAACTTATTTGAACAAATAATAAAGGAGAATTTCCCCAAGCTGGCAAAGGAAATAGACTTCCAGGAAATCCAGGAAGTGCAGAGAGTCCCAAAGAAGTTGGACCCAAGAAGAATCACACCAAGGCACATCATAATTACATTAGCCAAGATGAAAATGAAGGAGAGAATCCTAGAAGCAGCAAGACATAAGGGGAAAGTCACCTACAAACGAGTTCCCATCAGACTGTCAGTGGATTTCTCAAAAGAGACCTTACAGGCAAGAAGGGGCTGGAAAGAGGTATTCCAAGTCATGAAATCCAAAGACCTACAACCAAGATTGCTCTATCCAGCAAAACTTTCATTTAGAATGGAAAGGAAGATAAAGTGCTTCTCAGATAAGGTCAAATTCAAGGAGTTCATCACCACCAAGCCCTTATTATATAAAATGTTAAAGGGACTTACCTAAGAAAAAGAAGTTAAAAAAACATGAACAGTGAAAGGACAGCAAACTCACAGTTATTAACAACCACACCTAAAACAAAAGCAAACTAAAAGGACAGCTAGATCAGGAGTGGAAACATAGAAATGAAGATCTCAAGGATGGTTAGCAACAGGGGAGT